GCCTTCTAGAATTTTGTGGCGACGTCCGTCGTTGTTGTCGGTCGTCGTCGTCGGTCGGTCGGTCCGTCCGTCGTTATCTTCGTCGTCATCGGTCGTCGCCGCTGGTCGTCGTCCTCATCGTTCGGTCGTCATTGGTCGGTCGGTCGGTCGGTCGGTTGGCGGTCGTTGCCGTCGTTATTGTCTGTCTGTCGGTCGTCGTCGTCGTCACCGTCGTCGTCGTTCGCTCGGTCGGCAAGTCGGTCGGTCAGTCGTTCGGTTGTTCTCGATCGCTCGGTTGGTCGTCGTCGTCGTCGTCGTCGTTCGTCGTCGTTGTCGTCGGTTTCTCGGCCGCTTGGTCGCTCGGTCAGTCGTTCGGTCGGCCACATGAGTCGGCAGCTAAAGCGAGCCACGCCTTCACCATGGCCTGAACTAATCAAAGTCACTAGACGGACACACCTCGGCAAAATTCTCGCTTGCAAAGCAGTCACCTAACTAACCTGACTGTAGAGGGCGCTCTGGCCAGGATTTCGATGTTTTCCCGTCGTGGCGGCGAGAAGCTTCACAGAGGCTCCCGAAGATGACGAAGAGCGTCCCCCAACCTCGATAATCAAACGTCGCTTCTCCTCCTCCTCCTCCTCCTCCTCCTCCTCCTCCTCCTCCTCCTCCTCCCTCTCCTCCTTTCCTCCCTCATCCCCAGGCCCCCGACGTCGTGATGTTCTCGGAACTTGGGCCACAGGAGGTCTCCGCTCCTTCTCTGGGGGCCTCCTCTTCGTCCAGGGTCGTGCTCTGACGACAGGGGCCCCGATCCGTAAGCAGTCGGGGCTCAAGAGACGGGGGTAAATGCAAACGGGGGTCAGCCGATTCCGTCTTGATGTTGTTGTTGCCGGTTCTGGCGCCGTTTGCTTTCCGGTTCGTCGCCGTCTTCGTTGCCGGTTCCGGTCCCAGTTTCAAGTCCGGAGCCGATTTTTCGGGGCCCGTTTCAAGTTGCTGTTCTTCACCGTCTCCATGTTCAAGAGACATGTTTGTCGGAAAGGGGGCAGCGGGCATTCTAGGGTTCTTTGGAGTCTTCGGGCCTCAAGAAGCGAAGCGGACGACGCAGCGGCCACATGCTCGTGGCCTCCATCCCCGCACGGGGACAGGGGCCAACGGCGGCGAGAACAGGTGTTAACAGCGCCATAGACGAGAACGAAAAGGCAGGCCAGGATAACAGAAGCCGAAGGCAGTGGCGCCCCACGCGGCAAGGGAAACTTCTGAGATAGACGCTCACTTTCACATCCCATGCGGAAAAACACCCAAGTGTTTCAGGCAACCTTTTCGCCCCCAAAAGGTTGCCTGAAATTTTGGCCATTTTTGGCCGATCCGCGGGCCAGAAATTCAAGCTCGGAGACCTCGAAGAGGTGCGAGCTGGCGGCGCGCTGCCAGTAGCTCGGCCCGCCGAGAACGGCAGGGCAGGCCAGGAAATCAGAAGCCGTAGGGAGCCGCGCCCCACGCGGCAAGGGAAGCTCCTGAGATCGCGGCTACAAAATCGCGGTGGGCGTGCCCACGCCTACGAAATCCCTTCGAGCCAACGGCCGCGCCTACTGCGCCTACATCAGCCGCTGGGCGGCCTGCGCCCCCGCCGCAGGCGCCGCCGGCCTGGCCCCGCCTGGCCCTCCCAGCGCTGCGGGCGCCGAACCCTGCGCGCCGGCCGCCGCGGCGGCGTCGACCGCGGCGAGCTCGCGCCAAACGCCCGCTCCGGGCTCGGCGGCGCTGTCGTCTAGCCGGGCCACTGTGGCCAGGCTCGTGCGCGCGCCCCGCCGGGCCAGCGCCGCGCCGATCCGCTCCCGCAGCGCTCGCTCCATGGCGCGGGCGGTGCCCCCGCGGCGCCGCGCGGGGGCCCGCCTGCACGGCCGCCGCCTGCAGGTGCGGGCGCCCGTGGCTCGTCCATACCACGGAGCTGTAGACGATGCCGAGCTCCTCGAGCTCGCCGCGCACGCTGTCCCGCTCCCGGTTTTTGCGCTGCCACATCGCCTCGGCGGCGTCCTCGCCTGGCGCGGGCGCGGTGGCGGAACTCGTAACTCCCACGTCCAAGGCCGACAGGCGGCCAACGGCCGCCGTGAGCACGTCTGCAGGTCGGTCCAGTGGACGTGAGCGTACGAGGTTCTCCGGCTCCAGCTCGCTACGAGGATCGCCCATCACGGCGAAACGATGCAGCTCCTCCTTGACCGGGTTGTGGCCAACCGTCGCCTCCCCAATGCAGCAGGTCGAGGCGTGGGGTCCGGCGGCGTCCAGGAGGTGCTCGCCGCGGGCGCCGCACATTTGGAGGCTCGGGCGGCCCGCCGGCGCCCAGCCGAAGGCGCATCGCCTCGGTGAGCTCCTCCCGATCTGCATCCAGAGCCTGCGCGGACCACATCCGGCTGAGGTCGGTGCCAGGGTCGCGCAGGTCGCCCAGCCGGGCGCGGTCCACGTGGGCGTCCGCTCCAGCGGAATGCTGTGCCAAGCCCTCGGCGGTGCGCGCGTCGGCGATGGCCATCAGCCGCCCCTGATCCGCAGGCCCCGAGCGGGGGCCCTGGGGCTGCTCGGCCCCGACGTCGTCCACGACCCCCGCGCCGAGCGTGCCGCGCAGGCGCTGCGCGTCGGCGCCCGACTCGGGGGGGCCCTGGGCCGTCCTCCGCGCCGCCGCCCACGAGCTTGTCCCACGCTGCCTGCGAGCTGCGGAGGCAATCGAGGAAGGTCTCCCGCGCCTCGTCAGCGCTGTCTGGCGGCAACGACGCAGCGTACCTCGACAAAGCGTCGCTGGTTCGCTGGTCCTCGGAAACACTAAAAAAATTGCTGGACCGTTTCCGAGGCCCACCGGGAACGGTTCTTCATCCTGAGCCGTTTGAAGGGCGGCCCCGAAGACCGGCAAGGGCACCCAGAGGCCGAACACAGCGACAGACCTCCCGTCGGGACCTTGTCTGCGGGGGCTGGAGCCCCTCCCTGCCTCCCTCCCTCCGCTCCTCGAGGCCCCCCCTCCTCGCCCCTCCTCGCCCTTCCGCGCCCTCCCCCCCTCCCGCTCGAGGATCGAGATGGGGGGAGGAGGGAGTCTTCAGGACCCGAGAGCGTCCGGAGCCTGTTTTTTTTAGACTCTGGCAAGTTTACTTGCATGGACGGGGGGGGGGGGCTGAGCCTGAAGCAAGCCGCAAACGACTTGGACGTTCGGGGGGGCGCGGAAATCACGCAAGTCGAAAGGCACTTGCACGCTAGTATTCGCTTTAGTATTCGCTTGAAAGGGTGGGGGGGGGGGGGCGAACGCCATAAACTTGCCTGAATCCAAAAAAAACAGGCTCACCAGGCCCGGGTCCGGCCTGCACGCCCGCCGGCGCTGACGGGCCCGCCCGCCCGCCCGTCCGCGGCCGCGCCCTCCACAGCCGCGGGCCCGGCCGCGGCCGAGGGGCGCCAGGGCGGCGCGCGGCGCAGCGCGGCGCCGCGGCGGGGGCGGGCCACATGGAGATGCTGACCGGCAGCCAGGCCACGCCGGCGGCCCCCTCCCAGGGGCTCAGGAGCAACGATGGGCTTGGCATCACTCGGACGTGCGGATGCTTCCCTCGGCGAGGACCATCGAGGAGCATCCTTGAGCATTTGGCGAAGAAACCACGCACGAAGCCGGAAGAGAGACAGGGAATGGACGTCCGAGTGGTGGCCAGTGGGGGGGACGCGTCGAATCTCGAAGAAGGAAGGACGGCAGAAGCCTAAACTTTTGGCGCTCCCCGCGGATGTCTTGGATCTGCGCCGGGCCTCCCCGGCGGCGCCACCGGCGCCGCCGCTGGCGCGCTCCGCGCGCCAGGGAGGGGAGTACAGCGCAGATCTAATAAAGCCGCGCGGAGCGCCAATTGTTTCTATGGTTATGGCGTTTGATGTTCCTCTAATAGGGGGGGATGGGCATGATGGGGGGGGCGCATCGAAGGTGTCCATTCATCGCCGATGGGGTCCCGACAGCCCCACCCCGCGTGGCAGGGGCGGGCAGCGCCACGGAGATGCTCGGGTATGCACATGTTGTATACTTTTAAAAGGCTTGTGGCTTCGGGGGCACGAATGGTGTATGGTCTCTGGGACACAATGATTGTGCAAGACACAAAGTTTAAGGTTCGGGGGCGCGAGCAATGTGTAATTCACAATGGTTTATGGCCTCGGGGACGCAAGTACTGCGTCATGTACCTAGCCGTATGGCTCGGGGGCCCGAATATTGCAGGATACATGGCCTCGGGGACGCAAATAAGGCATAACTTACAAACGTGTATGGCCATCATTATTTACAGAGTTGTATGGCCTCGGGGACATAATCTTGTGTAATGTATGAAGGGTCATGGCTTCGGAGGCGCGAGTGTGGTGAAATGTGCAAAGGGATCGTGGCCTCGGCGGTGCGAATCCCAAGTACTTTTACGTAACCCAGGGCCCCACCCAGAAATTCTGAGAACCCTCTTGGGCGAGGGCAACCGCAATTTACATTAGGAAGCAGTAAGCAACACTGTAACATTAGAAACTTGGAACCAGATCTGGTGCAGGGTACTGGAAACTGGAACTGGCGCAGGGAGCAGCAACTTAACCCTACAGCCTGGTGGCCCCACAAGGGGGCCGGCGAATTTTCGGCCTCTGGGGGCCATTACCGGCCCTTGGGGCCGTCAAAGAACGACTCGGGACGGAACATTTATCCCCAGGAATAAGTTACCTCCTAAAAGTTCTTTCGTGGGGAGGAAAATCGGCGATTCGGCCGCAGTTTCCAACGGTTGGTCGTTTGGTCCGTTTGGGGAGTTTCATGGTTTCCTCATGGCCTGGTTAGGTCCAGTTAGGAGCGGCGGCGTCGGCGCGTGTCGTCGGTGTTCTGCGGTTTGCCGCCCGGCACGGGGGCGGGGTAGCAAGTTCCCGGCGTCCTCGTCGCCACGTTCGCCGTGGCCACGCGGGCGCGCTCCTGGCGGACTAGGTCTGTCCAGTGCGCGTGCCTCCTCTGTCCCTGCGGGGTGTGCCGCGGCTCTGCCGGGCTGGGGCTCTTGGCCCCGGCGGCTTTGGTGTTGCCGTTTTCCCAGCTGGGTTTCCCGGTCGGGTCCGCTGCTGTCCGGCACAGGAGGTGCATGCGCAGCTGGGTGTGCTACGGCCCCGGCTGGCGGGGCGTTCCGTGGCGAGGTAGCGCCCCGTGGTCTTCGTGTCTGTTCTTTCCTCCCAGCGGTGCGCCCTAGAGGTGCGTTTTGGTCGTATCCCGCGCTTTCTGCCCCATGGGGCCGGCGGGGAATGCATTGTGGCAAGATGCCCCAGGATCGCATTCACAGCGATTCCGCGGGTTCCTGGCCTGGGTGCGCCTCTGCGGTTCTGGGTCTGACGCGAAAGTTTGAGGCGTCTGCGAACCCAAATTCGCAACTTGCGACTCCAGCGTTGCCGGCGCTACAGATTCCGTTTCGAGTGCCGTTTTGTTGTTTTAGGCTCTCGCGCGCCCAGGTTCACACTGGGAGTGTGATTTGGCAGTTTCTGACCTGCCTGGAGGGGGTTGCACCTTGTGTGCGACTCTACCGTTGCCGGCGCGCTGGTGGGCCTAAACTATCTTTCTGGGCGTGATTTCGCGGTCTTCTGCGCCATTGTGCGCAGATTCGTTTTTCAACCATTACTGGCGCTGGCACGCCTTGACTGGTGTTCTGGTAGTGTTTCCGCATCTTTTCGCACCATGGCTCCGGGCTCCCAGTGCGAAATTCGGTGGCTCTCTCACTTCCGCAGAACTGCAAACAGACTGCGCTGTCGGCGCTTTCAGCGTCAGCGCTCGCAGTGCGGGCGGCGCTGCGCGTATCCTGGCGCCCCAGCGCCCGGATTGCTGTATTTTCGCTCTGCAGCCGCTCGGGTGCGCCCTCATCAGGGCACACCCGCAGCCTGTGCCGCTCACGCGCCGCCGCCTTGCATTCGCCATTCGCGGTCGGCTTCCGTCTGTTGCGCGTGGTGCGAAGCAAGACCGGGTCAGCACTCTTCTCGGACTTTGTCCAAAGCGTTTGCTGGCTCGGCGCTCCCCGTGGGATGCCCGTGCCCACGGGGGGGAAAGGGGGGACCGACTAACTGGTTCGCCCGGGGTGTCGGATGCGTGCAGGCGGGGGCATATACCTTAATGTGGGGATGCCGCCTTGGCCCCACACCTGCACGCAACGGGACAGGGCGCTCTGTCCGGATCCGTCCGGTCAGTCCCTGCTCCCGACCGGCATCCCGCCAGAAAACGGCATTGGTATCCTACTGTCCATGCCGGACCCCGATTCTTGGGAAACTCAGAATGTAATTCTGGTGTGGCTCGTGAAATTTGTGCTCCAGCCACTGAAAATTCGATCCCCTGCGGACGGATTTCTTTGGCGCAATTTTCGGACAGCCCGAAAAATTCTTTACGCTTCGCGTATCCCCACCAGCCCATCTCACAGCAGCAACTCTCGCGAAGCATGCCGACAGTCGTGTTTTTCAGGCGTGTGTCCGCTTGGCCCCGCATATCTCCCCTGTTCCTCCTTCCTCCCGCCTTCTTGTACATCCTCCTTGTGAGGGGAGCGGGAGAAGGACGAGGCGGAGGAGGAGGGAGAGAAAGCGCTCCTCGTGATTTGAGTCGTTTGGGGTTTCTCGTCCTGGTGTGAGTCGTTCGGGCCCTTCTTCCTGGTGTGAGTCGTTCGGGCTCTTCGTGGTGTGAGTCGTTCGGGCTCTTCGTCCTGGTGTGAGTCGTTCGGGCTTCTCGTGGTGTGAGTTGTTCGGGCCCCTCGTCCTGGTGTGAGTCGTTCGGGCCCCTCCTCCTGGTGTGACTCGTTCGGGCTCCTCGTGGTGTGAGTCGTTCGGGGCCCGCGTCGTGGTGTGAGTCGTTCGGGCTCCTCGTGGTGTGAGTCGTTCGGGCGCCTCGTCCTGGTGTGAGTCGTTCGGGCCCCTCCTTGTGGTGTGAGTCGTTCGGGCTCTTCGTGGTGTGAGTCGTTCGGGCCCCTCGTCCTGGTGTGAGTCGTTCGGGCTCCTCGTGGGGCCTCTTGGGGGCCTCTTGGGGGGGCCTCTTGGGGGCCTCTTGGGGGCCTCTTGGGGGCCTCTTGGGGGCCTCTTGGGGGCCTCTTGGGGCCTCTTGGGGGCCTCTTGGGGGCCTCTTGGGGGCCTCTTGGGGCCTCGGGGCCTCTTGGGGGCCTCTTGGGGGCCTCTTGGGGGCCTCTTGGGGCCGCTTGGGGGCCTCTGGGGGGCCTCTTGGAGGCCTCTTGGGAGCCTCCTGGGGGCCTCTTGGGGCCATCTTGGGGCCTCTTGCGACCTCCGCAGAAGCGCAAAGGAGAGCTGCCCCCTGAGAAGGACAAGGTGAGCCCAAAACCTTCGTAAAATCAATGGTTTTGCTATGAGGGAAGATGAGCGCGGCCCCCTCAGAAGGCCAAAATGGACCCAAAACGCTCGTAAAATCAAGGGTTTCTATTTCAAAGACGAGCAGAGGGACCAAACTCCCCCCTCCCCGGGCCAGAATCCTCGTGAGGGTCGTCGTTTTTTGGCCCTCCGAGGAGTCGAAATGGACCCCCCCGCCACCATTCGGGAATC